GATGGCAACCAAATGGCTAATCAATTTATATTAAATATATTTGATTCTTAGAATCTATTTTATAGTAATCACGTATTATTTCATTAGATATGATGACGATATTTAACTAGATGCTCGAAGAAGACTATTTTTATTTCAAAACATATTTTGGATAAACTTGAACTTGTCACATTACTCATAACTGTAGAAATTCTATGCTTTTAGATTTTTGGTTAATTTATATATCATCATTAATTAAACACGCTAGCATCGTGCCTTAAGGCAAATTGGTGGAACTACCCGTACCGTAACGAAATGTTCGAGAAATACTGAATGTTTTCAAATAGATTATTATAAATATTGTAACATTGTCTAATATTTATAAGAATTAAATAAACTGAATTGCAAAGTTGAAATTATTTGTAAAGTATATTAGAACTATAGTCAGAATTAAAAATAAAATCTGAATTATTTTCGATATACAAAAAATTAAAAAATTAAAAAAAAAAGTTGAAACAAATGTTTTTTTTTTCAAAATCAATTATTTTGTTAAGACAAGCAGAAAGTTTTTTGAATCAATTAAATCGGACGCTTAGTTTTCTCAAAAACTGCCATTTTTTGTACATTTAGCTTCGTATCTTTGAAATGGTTGGGCCTGCCTTTGCAAAAACCTAATAACCACTTTTCCCAATCATTACTAATTGAATGTTTTTTAGATCATTCAAATCGGATGCTCCGTCCTCTCAAAAACTCGATTTCTATTTCCTGCACTCTTTGCTCTTTATCTCCGTAACTGCTGGACCTGCCGTTGCCAAAAACTAATTAGCATATCTCCTTTTCAATAGGAATCGAATGTTTTTCCATTCAAATCGGTTGATCCGTACGCCCGAAAACGTGGACGAAAAATTGTATCCATACATACATACACACACACATTCACACACACATCTATTTTTTCTGAGGTATGCCAAAATGTTCAGAAACCTTCAAAACGTCGAGAAATGTAAAAAATTTCAATTCCGATTTTCGGCCCATTACAATAACTTACCCTACGGGAAGTTAAAAATTACATATATGCCGGTGCACACAAACAAATAGGCAGTACTTTTCCAAGGAAATGTCATATATTCGTATTATGTGGATTTATAAACAGCGGCTAAAAATTTTGCGACTGTATTATTATGTAACATTTCGAATGATTTATAAAAATGGATTTATCATAATTATGCGCAAGCGAGTAAAAATAAAACAGTTACTCCAGGTTACAAATTCATGTAGAAACCCATAAAATTAAAAAAAAACATAAAATAGCCTTTTTTACAATTTTTAATCAATAAGAAAAATTGAAGTTTAATATTTTATTATTAAAAAATGTATACAAGACTTTTTTTTCAAAATTTACTATTTCATAAAAAAAATTCCTACTACATCTTCCTGCTTAAAAGTGTTAATAACATTTCAGTGAAGAAATTGCATTTTCGAATAAAAAGTGTTTCTATATTGCAGTTTGGTTTATTTACTATTACTATTCGAGGAACTAATGTTTACATGTCTGAAGTATTTTTCTCACTTCATCTTTGTCGTTTGCTAGAAACTAATTATAAGAAGTGCATGTGAGTAATTGTAAATAGCATTTGTACAATACACCGTCGTCCGTGAACTAAATCAACAGGAATCATTTTTCAAAAGTAAATTGTGTTAGCATTTGTGATAAATGCAATAGAATTTAAACTATGACCTTTGGAATCTATTTCTTCTTTAAAACTGATCACAATATCTTCTAAAAAGTCACAATATCACAAGTCTTGTTGAAAAGTCACTTTGTAATTGATCATTAGTGGATCAAAAGTGGGCAATGAAATGATTTTGTTGTGTAAATTAGGAAGAGGATAACAGATCAATATGTATGTAATTGATATGTATATTATTTTGTAACTAACAACAAAGAAAAATTAAAAAAAAAATGTATACCATAAAGTTTGAAAATTTGAGCTTTTAGGTACAAAGCTTTATTTAAACTGTGTATGATAACAAGTTCCATTGTAAGTTCGCGCTTTTAATCAGGATTGAAAAATAATAAAATACTTGGTAGGTTCATAATTAAAAAAAACGAATAAATAAATAAAAACCTAAAAATAACACGGTCTTTTTTTCAGAGCACAATATTTTGCCCACATGAAACATTTTATTTATTACCTGCGTAGGCACTTCTACTATTTTAATTAAAAAGTTTAAATTAACGAATTTGTGCACAGATAAACAAGTTGTCACAAATTACTTCACCTGCTCGCAATAACATAATTTTTTATCATTTTTCAAAAGTTTCGAGTGCCCATAAATTTAATCCCTGATATCGATTAGAACTCAATTTTCAGTATCAAATGAAAACAACATAGTAAATCATAGTAATCCTCTATACGTTCATAAACACATTGTTGCTGGGATTATCTCAGATTTATATTAAACAAACTATTCTGCACTCACAGTACAGATTATTCGTTATCAAGTATTTTACAGTTCTGGTTTATTTCGATTTATCTTCAAAATGTACTAAAAGATTAGGTAAACTATTTGAAACAGATAAAATCATTGAAAATAAATTTCAGAGATGATCAAATTGCTTTATGCTGAATATTTGTAATTATTTTTTTATTAGTACAACTGCATGACTATATTTTATCATTATTGGTAAATCGCGCTATGTACATGTGCTAACCCAATATTTTTTTAGCATATGATATTAATATTTAGGGAAAAAGAGAATCAGAAGGCTGATTTTATGTTGAAACTTATATCCAACGTAAGTAATACAAACTAGAAGCTTTTATTTTTCTAGAAAATTTAATTTGCCATTCATAAATGTTTTTTTAAGTTTCAGGAATAGGGGTTGTCCCATTCTTTACCATCTTAAGTCTCTATAATTATTTGAAAATTGAAGTATTTTATCGTTGATTATTTATCGAAGCCTTTTAAAATCTTATATAATACTTATGGATATGGATATGAAAAAGTATGACAAATAGACTAGTCATGAATTTTGTGTATACTTTGAGGCTTTGACTATATTTATACTAGAAGACAAGTTCCATGAATATCTCAAAATGTGGAAATAATATACTTGATCAATAAGAATTAATATTAAAATGATCATTCAAATAAGTTACTAAAATCAGTGCTCAAACAGTTATAAGAAGATTAAAAAAATATTGCCTATAGACCTGTCTTAGCTTAAATTTGAAAATCATTTACTGAAGTGTTTTCTATACATTTTTTAAAAATAATATTAGTATTCTTTTAATCGTAATAGCTTATAAAATTGTACTATATTGATTGCTATTAGTCTAATCAATGTAACTAGTGGTGTATGGCATCGTGCTTTAAGGCAAATTACTGAAACTTCCCGTACCGTAAAAAATATTCGGAAAATTTTAAATGTTTTTAGCCTGAATGAAAATTGAAATCCGAATAATTTTAATTATTTAGAAAGCAATTTTTGAAAATTAAAAATAGATTTTTTTTAAATTTTGAAATGATTTTTCCTCGCATTATTTGAAAACGAATCATTTTAACAACACAAGCAAAATGCTTTTTGAATTAGCTGACTCGTTCTCTTTATTTTGCTTTGAATCTCCGAAATGGCTGCAACTGCCTTTGCGAAAAACTAATCAGCACTATTTCCCGACAAAACAAATCGAATATTTTTTGAATCATTTTTCGGTTCTCGCAAAAACCGTGTTACCATTTTCTGCACTTTCTGCTCCGTATGTCCGAAACGGCTGGAACTGTCTTTGCCAAAATCTCACAATCGATCACGTCACCCTACATTAGAAATCGAATGATCTTTGAATCATTCAAATCGGTTAATCCATGCTCTCGAAAACGTGCGAAATTGTATCCACACATACATACACACACACACATCTATTTTTTCTGAGATGTATCAAAATATTCAAAAACCTCTGAAACGTGAAGATATGCAAAAGATTTCATTCGATTTTTGAACGATCACTATAACTTACTCTACGGAAAGTTGATAAATTAGAGGTGATTTCTATTTATTAACTTCCCGTAGGGTAAGTTATAGTAATCGCAAAAAAATCGAAAAAGAAAATTTTTATATATCTTTACGTTTCAAAGGTTTCTGAATATTTTGGCATACCTGAGAAAAAATGGATGTATGTGTGTGTGTGTCGATTTCGGGAACACCGATCAACTGATCTGAATAATTCAAAAAACATTCGATTCGTATTGATGTGGAGACGTACTGATTAGTTTTTGGTATAGGCAGGTCCAGCCGTTTAAAATATGTTCATTCTAACAATAAGTCGACTTAATTAGATTTTTTAATATATATTTCATTCAAACATATATATACAATGTCGTCGAATCTAACAAGTTTTGTTACAAGGTCTACATTTTGTCTACAAGGAACAAATAATGAAAATTCTAGTTTTTATAATATTTATTCATAGACATTTTCGTTGATTGATTATTTTTATTTTTCGACTGTTTAATTACAGTACGGGAAGTTCCAGCAATTTACCTTGAGGCACCATGCGGTGCGCCCCACTAGTTCTACTCTTGATCAAAACTTTTTTTAATTGGAGTAAATAGTTAAAACCGAGCAGCTGATATTCTGTGCCCTTTCCGTTAACGTCCCAACTAACTCCTTTAACCACCGGTTTCTCCTAAATCCCACTTGTTGCGTAAAATTCTCAAAATATAGATTCTCCTAGATAAACACTAGATTTTCTTATAACAACCCTTGACATTATCTGCGATATTCGGTCATCATACAAACCCTTACCCCATTCACCCACCACTCTGACCTTCTTCTATGGTACATGCGTCGCCGAACTTGCGCTTCCCTATATAAATGGGTGAGCGGAGCTTATGCCACGGTGCATTGCTAAAACGTCTTCTGATCAGTTGATAACCAGAGATAGTAATAAGATATTTGGAATATTATATATTCAGAATTTGAGATTTAGTTTGATTTCATTGTTAGTTTGTAAAAGCTCTCTGTTTTTGTGTGCGAAAGCGCTGCTGAACTTGAAGGTCAACGAAAGCTTTTGAAGCAACAGGTAAGTGAAATTTTGTTAAATCTTATAGTTTATTACAAAATACTGCATTTAGATGAATACATGAAATAACTTGAAGTATTTTTTGTTTTACTTAATTTTTTAATTTAAATTAAACATAGTTTGATAATTTATAATAAAAAATACAGAATTCAACGTCTGAAGTTTCACTAGTGCAATTTAATAATAAAGTACAGAAAATAGCAATGTGCTAATTGAAATATTTATATCAAATTTTGTCTGGTAGCATGAATTATTTTTATGTGTTATGCTCTTTTCTAAATGTTTATAACATATATTATAAAAAATAACCTATCAATACTTCAGGATATACAAATAAAAAAATATTTAAAAAATCGTCAATATACCATTCATTCATTCATAAAAACAATAAAATTTTATGAAATTTAGTATTCATGATAATGATTGTATTTAAAAATATCATATTGAAATAAAACTAGTTGAAGGTGCATTTAGCCTGAAGGCAAGTTGCATGAACTTCCCGAAATGTGTAAATAGTATACTTAATCGATCCAATTTTAGAATAAGCAACTTGATCTGCCTTTAACAATATTTTTTTATTTTATAATTATTAAGAAATTTATATTTATCACTATCATTGATTATAAAAAAAATATTTTTTTCTTTTTTATTATTTTTAATATAATAATCTGAATACATAAGTGGTTCTCATTGTGACAAAATTGTATCGACGCATACGATTATTTTTCCAAATTGTAGAAAACGATGATAATTATTATAACTTGATTAAAGTAAAGAATTTCTTGGTCATTTCACGACCTTGGAGACGAAGTATATTTTCTAGGCAGAGGCTTCATATGTTTTTGATTTTTCAAAATCGGTTCGGTAGGATGAGCTTAAATGTGGACGAAAATTTAACACTTTTTTTCAACAGTTAATTACAAGAAAATGGCTCGGTAGATTTTCACCTAAAATTAATCAGTACCATTCCCAACTAATATCTTTCGAACAGTTTTTGATTTTTCAAAATCGGTTCGGTAGGATGAGCTTAAATGTGGACGAAAATTTAACACTTTTTTTCAACAGTTAATTACAAGAAAACGGCTCGGTAGATTTTCACCTAAAATTAATCAGCATCATTCCCAACTAATATCTTTCGAACAGTTTTTGATTTTTCAAAATCGGTTCGGTAGGATGAGCTTAAATGTGGACGAAAATTTAACACTTTTTTTCAACAGTTAATTACAAGAAAACGGCTCGGTAGATTTTCACCTAAAATTAATCAGCATCATTCCCAACTAATATCTTTCGAACAGTTTTTGATTTTTCAAAATCGGTTCGGTAGGATGAGCTTAAATGTGGACGAAAATTTAACACTTTTTTTCAACAGTTAATTACAAGAAAACGGCTCGGTAGATTTTCACCTAAAATTAATCAGCATCATTCCCAACTAATATCTTTCGAACAGTTTTTGATTTTTCAAAATCGGTTCGGTAGGATGAGCTTAAATGTGGACGAAAATTTAACACTTTTTTTCAACAGTTAATTACAAGAAAACGGCTCGGTAGATTTTCACCTAAAATTAATCAGCATCATTCCCAAATGATATCTTTCGAACAGTTTTTGATTTTCCAAAATCGGTTCGGTAGGATGAGCTTAAATGTGGACGAAAATTTAACACTTTTTTTCAACAGTTAATTACAAGAAAACGGCTCGGTAGATGTTCACCTAAAATTAATCAGCATCATTCCCAACTAATATCTTTCGAACAGTTTTTGATTTTTCAAAATCGGTTCGGTAGGATGAGCTTAAATGTGGACGAAAATTTAACACTTTTTTTCAACAGTTAATTACAAGAAAACGGCTCGGTAGATTTTCACCTAAAATTAATCAGCATCATTCCCAAATGATATCTTTCGAACAGTTTTTGATTTTTCAAAATCGGTTCGGTAGGATGAGCTTGAATGTGGACGAAAATTTAACACTTTTTTTCAACAGTTAATTACAAGAAAACGGCTCGGTAGATTTTCACCTAAAATTAATCAGCACCATTCCCAACTAATATCTTTCGAACAGTTTTTGATTTTTTAAAATCGTTCGGTAGGATGAGCTTAAATGTGGACGAAAAGTTTTTTTCAAATTACAAAGAAACGGCTTGGCAGATCGTTGCACAAAACTGACAAACGATAGTCCTCACCGAAATACATCAAATGGCTTTTAAATTTCTAAAATCGGTTCAGGCGTTTTTGAGAAAACGTCGATCAAAAGTCTAATTTTGACAAATGCCAAAAAGACCATACTGATTTTTGCAAACTTTGACGAATTTTTAAAGCTAAACCAGTTGTCGTAGGGCCGTAATATTTTAGTATGACCTAGAAAACTATGGTATCTATCGTCAAAAAAATAATCATAAAAATCGTCGAAATTTTTTTTTTTAAACTTTATTACAAGAAAACGGCCCGGCCGATCTTTACCAAAAACTAATCAGCACGATTCCCAACCAATATCTATCGAACGGTTTTTGAATTTTCAGAATCGATTCAGAGTTGCGGGCTAAAACGTGGACGAAAATTTTTTCACTTTTCTGCAATTTACAAAGAAACGGCCCGGCCGTTCGCCGCACAAAACTCAGAGACGATAGTCCTCATCGAGATACATCAAATGGCTTTTAAATTTTTGAAATCGGTCCAGCCGTTTTGGAGAAAACGTCGATTTACGGCAAAAAATCTGTTCACACACACACACACACACACATACACACACACACACACACACACACACATACTTTTTCCAAATTTGGTCTCATTCGATTCAGAATGGCTTGAAACGTCCAGAAAACATAAAATTAGCGATTCGGATTTTTTGATGAAAACATAAACTTCTCCTTCGGGAAGTTAAAAAACGTAAAACACTACTTAGAATTATTTAGAATTCTGAAATACATTTTAGACAATTTAATCCACAATATAATAACTAGTTGTAAGTGGCATTTTGCCGTAAGGCAAGTTGCATAAACTATTTTTCTTTCTCGAATTAAGATACTTATTTTTAGGCTAAAAGTTTGAAAATAAAATTTTCGCTTCCACTAAAAACTAATCAATAAAATTTTTAATTGATGACTTTCAAACTTACTTATAATATCTGTAAATGTACAAATTAAACTAGTAGTATATGGCATCGTACCTTAAGGCAAATTGCTGGAATTTCCCGTAGCAAAAATAAATGTTCAAAACGCAAATCGTACATTTTTGCTCGTCATATATTCTGATTAGAATCACTTAAGCACTCGGCGCAATTCTAAATTTTGAAGATTTTTTTTCAAATCAACAGATAGTCGTAGGCCTATAATATTTTAGTATGTTATTTTAGACTGCAAAATCTATGGTCATACAAAGTTTCATCAAAATTGTCAAAAAAACAATAAATAATTAGAAAGGAAACACGATTCCCAGCCCATATTTTAACAGTTTTTGAATTTTTATAATCTATCCAAAATTGTGGGCCAAATTGTGGAAGATTATTTTTACACTTTTCTGCAAATCACAAAGAAACGGCTTGGCGTCGACGAAAAGTCAAAAATCTGCACATATACTTTTCCCAAATTTGGTCCCGTTCCATTCAGAATGACTTGAAACGTCGATAAAACATAAAATTAGCAAATCCGATTTTCAAAAAGCACAAACTTCTCCTTCGAGACGCCAAAAATTTCTTTGTGTGTATAAAATAAATATTTTATATATTTAATATTTCATATATCAATTTCGACGGCAGTAAATCACAGTAAACAGTATTTTATTTTATAGAATTTTTTTGAGAATATCTTAATAAACAATTTTATATCTCTCAACACTGCATATAAATATAAGATTAATGCAAAAAACGGGTTGTAACTCTGTCAACAGATCGATATTTGAATATTTATTTGACAATTATGACGATATATTTAGACTTTATAATAAATTGCGGAGAAAACACCGGAAAATTCTCATTTAAAAATAAATTGTATTGTGTTGACGCAATTAATTAAAAAACCATTTAACGGGTGGTTCGATGATGCGGTATAAAATTACAGATTGCTTAATACTATGAAAGCTTATTTTTGTTTCTGGTTCAATTAAAAGAATTATATAAGACCAAATGCATTTTATTTATAATTTTCTTAGCAAATTGGTAAATGCAAATATTGCTCTGCAAATAAAATTAATATAGTTATAATTTATGCAAACAATACGCTCAAAAATAGCAAATTTTATTGCAAATAAATACTACAGAAAAATAGTTGTAAAATAAATCTCAATTATAACATTAGTATAGATTTTCATATCAGGATAAAAAAATATACATATAGAATTAAATATCCATTTACATCGAAAGATTCGGAACTATGAACATGATAATTTGTAAATCGTAAAGTGTTTTTATAAATAAACTTATACATCACCAAAATCGAAAAAATATTTCTTTCAATAGTAAAATACTTTTAGCAGATGAAGAATGAATCTCAAAAATTATTTCTCTATACATTTATATCGCAATTAAGGATGATGCACAAAGTTGCAGTTTATACATCAAAGTACAGAACATAAGTCTTCATAATTGAGGTTTACATGTATTTTGATATATAATAATGAATGTGGTTAATGAAATTTCAACCAGTTATGTTCAGAATTGTAATTAAACATGGAACTAACCATGCTTGTCAAAATGAGATAAACAGCTTAGCCTGTCGATGCAGTTAAATTAACAGTTGAGGGTTGTAGACGGAGAGCTGAAGGAAAATTCGTTCGAATTAAAGTAACCAATGGTTTAACTGTAAATGAAAAATGTATTTGCAAACAGAAATGCATACTAAATGTTCGCAATCAAATCTAATAATTTTCATACAAATGCTTTCATCAAAATCTATGAGTTCACAAAATAAGTATTAACTTTACAATAGTTTTATCTCATGGGTTCGTTGTTATGGTATGAGTGAAAATATATATTTGAAAATGTGTATATTATTTATCATAAAAATCCAA